ATACTAGTAGTAAATAAATAATGTATATGAATGTTCTTAAACATACGTCTGGAATTTGATATGAATTACATTTGCAAACTCGAAAGTAATATTGCTTTAAGTTTTATTCAAAAGATATGAAAAGCGGCGGAGCACTTGCAAACAGCTAGATAATGCCGTCAGATACTCAACGTGGTCGTTGAAAATTTTATGTCGCCTCTCGCTGCATCCTCCACTGCAGCCCCCACACCCCGCATCTGTAATTCTACACCCTCTTCATTGCTCTTACAATCGGTATACCTATACACTACACACCTCAAAGATTTTTTAATCTGATACTTAACTTTCATTTCGTTGTATAAAGTCAACTAATTCTCAAGACACGTTTTATGTACAGTTACTTTAATATTACCAGAAAACAATTTTAGCGATATATCGTGATCATTTCTTTTCTCTCGCAAAATACGATAGAGAAAAACCTGACAAAGCAAAATTCGGAATAGCAAGTATTTTTTCCGCTGCTGACATCCGATTGTTTTTCCGCTTTGTAGAATAGGTACGTATATTTTTCCTTGCTGTATTTTTTATTAAAACAGAAACAGTTTGTACAACATAAAAGAATACTCAAGTATCCAATAAAGCGCTGAAATGGTAACGTTTAGTTACTATTATCATGTCGCTCGTCCATCCTCATCACTATTCCGATTGAGCAGATACGAGTCACATTTGTATGTCTAGTGCGTTACTTTGCATTCGCTTTGTTGTATGTCCTCGTCTGTTCTGTAGAAACACTTTCAAATTTTTGCCGACGCTTTCTCTTTTACGATACTTAACATCTTCGCCAACAGCATAGTTTCTAAATGAACGATGAAGAAACTCAATCTTAAAACTAAAAGGAAAACAATGAATAATTACTCTGACCTAACTTAAATACAAACAGTTCATTTTGAAACAAATTCAACTTTTACATACATAACGTTTTTTATGTATAGTGAGTGAACGATACAAAAACGCAATCCAACAATACGTTTACCGCAAATTGAATGAGGCTCGAAATAAATCCTGCGGTCGTTGTCTGACTCTCAATACCAGTACCTCCCGTTCGTATCTCTCACCCTTGTTTGTCGTTGTTGGGGTTTTCACCCGACGAATAAAAATATCCATACACTCGTTTTGTTTTCCAGATATTGTTTTATTTTTTATTCAGTAACCGATCTTTTATGTGTATATGTGAACTGTTTTTATTCACCAGATTTTTTTTAAATGTCCTTAATTCGAGGGTCGAAGAAAAACAGCTTGATCGTTATCGAGGGCCCATTTCTCTCCCTCTCTTAAGACCCGGCCAAATAGGGGTCCCTGAGGTTCAAGCGTCGTAAACCAAGCACTCTAGTGTATCGTAAGTGTTAATTACTTTTGTCAGTCCGCAACTAGGTGGTTAACAAATCCCGTCTTTATATAATTCGTCTGCTGAGAACTGTAATTTACATCGACTGACGCAACATTGTTTGGATAATAAATTATTATGCCTTGAAGCGTTCTTAACGGGCGGCTAAATCGATAAGCGTCGTTTTTATTGCACCATTAACAAGCAGTGCGAGGGGCGAACTGATTTCAATCTGCGTAATCAATGCTGTATCACACTTAACAGAAATTAATTGGTACCAGTATTCGTAACTGATAATGTGTTCTTATAAAAAGCTGTCTTGTATTATTGTTGACGAGTACTTTACACGTGGCATTGACTTCTGTACCTATAATAAAAGCTGAGAGTGTAGGACTTTAAACTCTTAAATAATAAGTCAAATAATTTTGCATATAATAGCTGACAAAGGCGTGAAATAATACGAGGCGTAGAATTACTGTTTTGCTTTTAAACAAACACACACTCGCAAGTTTTAATAACCATGGCAGATTGCTGGCAGTCTAATCCCCATAGGGAGCGAAACACCCCTTGTTGCTAATTCACTGAAGCTTTCATTCATACACAAAACCCAAATTCTTTATAAAAACATCGCTTAACGTTCAAAAATGGCAACCAGTCTGTAAGGCAATTACGTGAAATCTGGTTTTGGTTTCAAAGTAATATTGGATTCAAATAGTGAAATGTATATTTTGTTACGTTTTAAAAATCTTTCCTCGTTTTTATTGCTGCCCAAAGTGGGAAAACGAGAGGAAAAAATAAACAGCACGGCTGTCGCTCGCGAGCGAATTTCCGGCTCACTGCCGTTCGGGACGTTTCAATTTTACAAAATATAAACTTTTGCCCTCTGGCTCGTAACAATCGGTTCACTCCAATTTATCATGTGAAATTGAACGTAATCTAAGTTTTATTATGATCGCATGAATTCTAGTTTTGTACTCTAACAATGAACTAGGTACTTTCTTTACAGTTCATGTTTGTTATACAATTTTGATAATAATAACTTCGTATTGTTGATGTTATTCACGTACCTACCTACCAATTTAATGTACTTTATAAAATAAAATTCGAATTTGCACAAGTATAATGTACAAATTCGAGTATCTTTGTAAATAATACCTAAAGAAAAGGCAAAACATTTTACTTAAAAAGTACTCCCTACTTCATAAATAACAAATTAGAAATCTCGAAGCCTGTACAAGGTAACAATTTTAAGACGCTATGTATAAATAAATTTTCTTTTAGGTTTCGTTGCTACCTCGAAGTTTATTTAACACAAAACAACGCTGAATAATGGAACAAATTATCAATTTAGATAATTAGAAAACATCAGTTCTGTTTAACAATTAATTATATCAAAAGTAAATCAGTTTTCCAGACGTCTGCACAATAACCATCTCTTGTTTATTATATCTTTCATCTCAGTATTTTTGTCACTATTTATTCGACAAAGAGATTCGTTCATATCATTTTAATTTCCCCTCGGTATTATACGTTAATATTTTACGTGAGATCACAATTCCCCGCAATAATAATCTGTTCCTCTCGTTGGGGAAACTCTTACAAATGTTTTCTTTTTTATATTTATAGATTATTCTTCGGAGACTGTTACTGTAGACAAGTCGAGATTTATCTCCGTTATCCCTGCCGCTTTACTGTTTCGTTGTTTCCTTCTAAATTAAGAGGTCTTTTATTCGTTTTTTGCTGAATAAATGATTTCAAATTAATTTCGGAGGGGAGGTGAACCTTTTAGTACTATATTTAAGTATTATATTTGCTTTTATATAAAAGAAACGTCTCAGTACAAATATGTGTTGTATAATAAGAGCCCCGAGGGCGCGATGGTCTGTAGTTCATCTAAAACAGAAACAACCTTTGTGAATCTTTAACGTGTTTTGTTTTGGCAAATAAATTAAATTACTGTAGTCAATAAATTCCAGTACTCTCTAGAGGCTGCATTAACTACAAGTAATAAAAACGACAAGGTCTACACCGACGTGGTAACATGAAATATAAATTTATCAATATACAGTCAGTTGAGTTGATTATGGGTACCCTACAACGACTGCATTAATCGTAGTCGTAAAGCAATAAGTTATAAAACGAATATAAATAAATCGGTTTACGGCCGTTTTACTGCTTTTCGCGAATGTGTTATTGCTAGGAACGGACGCTATGCGTTCAGCGTACCTACCGACGTGATAAAACTGTTAATGTTTTTTATACGTATTGGTATTAGTAAAATACATATTATTTCAAAGAAACTATGAATCTTACATTTCAGGAATATTTCGTTTGTGAGAAACTGTCAGTGTAAAATTTTATTGCATTTATCGACGCTGAAGTCCATAAGCCGAGCGACTAAGTTATCAAAGCGAGCTTAACCCCTGTGAACGCCACAAAGGCGCAAAATGAAAAGATGACCTGAATGCCCGCTTCACGCAGTGAAATGTTTAACCAGAAAAACATTGTGCACTTGTAAAATATATACATTTTCTTCATAAATGTGAAGTCTACGACAATGTTTATGTTGTTGAAGGAATGTAAGATGAATTAAAGTTTTAAACTTTAATGATTGAGAATGGCTTTATTAAGTAAAAACGCGGGTTACTCACGTGAATATACTGAGAAAAGCTCTACTAGTTTCGAACCACAGAGGGGTTCTTCCTCATGAGCAGCGTGCGCGATCGCGACGTCGCCGAAACTAGTAGAGCTTTTCTCAGTATATTCACGTGAGTAACACGCGTTTTTACTTAATTTAGTATGTCTCACGATAGTTATTATGGGAATGGCTTTCTGATACACAAAGAAAATATTTGAAAAATAAACAAGAGAAAAAAACAAGAACCAAAAATGCCCTTGTAAACTGAGATAATAACACAAAGACGCATTCCAGTAACAGTTCTATGATATTCAATCGAAAGTATTTCATATACTAGAAGAATATACTAGTTTCAAGCGTATCTAAAAGAAAATACAACAGACTTCGATGCATTTTGGCATCCGCACCAACGGCACTGACAATCTGTCGGACAAATGCCACAGATATTTCTGTTGGAAAACGATTTTCAGCTTTTCTAACAGACAGTTTGACTCTTAACAAAATATATAACACCAATGTTTTGGAACATGCTAAAACTCACAAAATAAAAGGATATATTCAACGTGATGACTTTGATTTATAGCAATAAAAATAGGTCATAGATCTTTTTAAGGTACACTCTACACTTTAATCCAGTTTTCAAATGTTTGACAAATGGGGTTTTTTAATCAATTAAAAACATTATTATGTCGAAGACCTGGATCTCTTTGTCTTCATTTAGATCAGTAATAGTAACATAATATTATTTCCAACCAAAAAAAAACAATACATAAAAAATTTTGTTTAAATCTGAAATCAATTATGTAGTTATGTTTCTTTTGACACATTTTCTCCCACGTATGTTGGTATACGACGGCATTTTACATATGTACGAAGAAATATTGTACGAGACGGTATGTTGGGCGGGCGGCGGGCGGCGCTTGCGCGAGGCGCGGGGCGCGGGTTACAGCGGCCGACGACCGGCTGCGGGCCGCGCCGCACTCTCGCCCCGCACGCCGGGCGAACTGTTCGTCGTCTGTCGATCATCTCCTTCTTTGTCTTGCGTACGATCGCGATCTATCGTTATTTTTGTTCTGCCGAACTCATATCTAGGCCTCTCTGGGATACCAACCGTTCTTTGGATTACAGTGCTAACGGATTGCAGTGACAATAGTGGATATCATTGTTTGTTTATAATCTTGTTTACATGACAAGTGCAATAACAAAGTTTGATCGTTTAAAAACAAGGTGTTTATAAGATATAAAAGTGAACTTTTATAACAGTGAAAAGTGATTAATGATTAGGCATGAATGTTTACGTTAAATGGTTCTTGTGTCAATAAATCTGCGAAAGTTTCGGATTTCACCAAAAGTCTTCCGCAGCCACCATAGTGAGGATCAAAGATTCTCCTAAGAACAATGCAGAAGGCAGCAGCAAAAAGGAAAGCAAGAAAAAAAATAATAAACAAAAGGCTGAAGGTAACGGGTCGGTGACAGGCAATAAGAGTGAGAAGTCAGCCACAGCTGCTGTGAAGGCGGACAAGGAAGGCAAAAGACCGTCGCCGACCAAAGATGTGCCAGAGAAACAGGTAAACATGTTTGACACGGTGTCTGCAGATAAGAGGGAAATTAAGCAAAAACGGAGAATACCTATGTATAATAAAATGTGTAAACAACTCTCTGCTTATTAATAAACATTTATTCATTTGATTCTGTTAGAAATTGATGCTGTCTCGTAAATCAAATAACCATTTGGAATTACTACAGATAAATATATTTTAGATTCGTATTTCTAGTAAACAACATGCATATTTTATCGGCGTCAGCTTACGTGACCGGAATCGTTAACATTTACCCCACTTTGGTGAGATTAACTTGAACAATGGAAACAACCTGCTATAGAATTCATATTTAATTTACACATATTCGCATTGAAAAACTAATGGAATGGTTATTGCGCTTAGTCACGAACTACCGAATAACTAACTTGACATGAATTGCTTTTACTCTAGTTGGTAAGCCAAGAATACGTGCAATTCCGGTCAAATGTTTATGGTACAATGAACGACGTAATTGTAGCTACCACTTGCCAATCAGCTGACTATATCTACTTACTGTCGTAGTTTATAAGGCCACCCAACCAGGTTATTTACAGCTTTTATTACGACAATAGCTTTTATGATCGCTTGTTTCTTTTCCTCGAGATAGCTGTACATTATAGTTATAAGCTACCTGTATAAAATACCACTTTAACTCAGTGTTGAAAATAAAAACCGTAGTAACAACCTCAATATGTAATAGAATAATTAACTCACTTTCTAATCCTAACAATCTTCAAATTAATTATTACGAAAACATTCGAAAGTAACTCGAATGTTTAATTATTCTTTAACAATACCTACTTTAAGCATTTAACAACAATGATCGCGTCGTTAATTCACAAAATTACAACCAATTACATAGCAGACTGTAAACACAAACAGACTTACACTGATTATAATTACAAAATAATCTTTGTTAACAAGTAGACATCCATTAATATCTAGCCGCAGCCCACAGATAATACAAAACAATTTTGCAAAGATATTGCTTCCCATTTTTTTATTGAATTAGTCTCATAAATAAGTTTGCCAGTTTTATTCACAAAAATAATATCAACAAATCTTTTCTCCCGCTCTTAGATCAAGACGTAAAGTCGTATCTGAAATCGCGGCAATAAATATCTATCTTTTTATTATGCATTAAATGTCACTGAGAACAAAAATTGGTATGCAGCATTAAATCAGGTCATGAACAAACTGCTCTTAGCTAAAATGCGCGGTGAATACTTAGCGACTCTACGCTTTCGACTTTTTTATGTGTGACATTGTAATTTATTACTCCTTATTATGTTAATCCAGCCAACTTCTGGTTTTTATAAATTAATTTTATTACTCAAATACAAGCGACAAACAAATCAATAATGAATAAAAACAACTGATGAGTTTGTTTTTACGAAGCCAGTTAAACTAGCCTGTATATTAATTACACGCTCATGTAATTGATTTCCAATCATTACAGGAAATATTCGATTATTTCTTACTGGCTGTATCATGCATATTAAAGAGTCACAATTACAAATTCGGATCATTTACTAATTGGACAACCAGACAGGTGCGTAAAAAATGATGAATAGTTCTCAATTCACACGAGCAAAGTCGTCAAAATTTGTATTGTATACAAAATAAACTAGCAACAACATGAATGTACATAATTTGTGTTCGAGTGGTATTTAATTTACAAAAGTATATAAATTATCTACAAAAATTGCCATCAAAGCATCTAGAGGGGCGTATCGGATCGGTATGACTGAACTTGCTTAGAAAGATGAAATTCTTCTTGAATTTTAAGTCCCATCCTATTAAAAGTTTGTGAAAGTATTAGAATTTGGAATGAGGGGCGAAAAGCTATCACGCCATTTTTTCCGAGTCTCCCCGTTTCCAATATCGGGAGAGGAGGAGGCGGGCAAAACGGCCCCAAGGCTGGGATCGCCAGATTATGCTTCGCTGTTTTGAATTCAGAATACGAATTAATTAATTCAGAATCGTAAAGTTCATTCATATTAAAAGTTATTAACTTTTTGTAAACGCTTGTGTGGGTGTGCAACGTTCCAAACGTTAGCTTATTTTAATTTTATTACCTCGAGTTAATTGCTTTAACGACTCTACTAATGGAATTTGATAAGGAAAAAAAAACTAATTTTGAAACATAATTCAGCAACGCAAAGAAATAACTTCAAATTTTAGCTGGTGTAAATATTCTTAGTTTTATTTTGACAACGTTGACTAATGCGGTCGTTTATTTTTATGGCTGATTTATTTAGAGTCGCGTGTATTTCTCTTCGGAGGTGGGCTCAACGGAACTATTATTACTTGCCGACACGACATCAGTCATCGCACTAATCGTGCTGAATTATTATTATCTTTTATGTAACATAATTTTGACAGTCGGCCAACGTTTGTCACAGTTGATGGACAGCCCCTAATTTCCAACAGACACTTCGTTAAAGGACTTAATTGTTAATCAAAGTCCTCTATTAATAGATCTCGAAGTTGCTTTACATCCAGTGAACTGTATAATTTGATATTGAACATTAATATTCTGTTTAAGTAAGTTTAAGGTGACAGAAAATGGTTTAAATGTTTTAATAAGATGGCGGTGCTTTTGAATGTCTTCTTTATTGTATTGAGAGCCGGACGCAAAGCCGGCGTCGCGCTGGTCTGGGTGCCGACACTGCCGACACTCGCCGCCCGCCTGGCACGCGCGGCCCATACTTGATTTATCACTCCATTGTTGCGGAGCGACGACCCACCCCCACCGGATAAGGCTAAACATTCAATTGCCGGAACGCACCCGAAACGATTTGTTCCCCCCATACTACCTATCGATTGACTATTTCTTCCGGCTCTGCCAGTATTTAAACGGCTTTCGAAGTACGCAAGAAGATCTCTATGAATTTATTGGCTGCTGCGCCGAAGGTCAAAATCCTGATTACTTAAATCTTATACAAATGACTTTTCAGTTGTAAATTATGATCTTTCCAAACAGCTAATATTTCATACTACAGGTAATTTGTTTCATCAAAATGTCTCTTTTTAGAAGAAGCACTTTGAGTAAGTACTAAACGCGGTATCCGCCATTAAAAGAGAAAAATGTTTTGCTATCAACATAAAATAAAACCAAAGCGCATAATAGAAAATTAAATCAACTGCGGCAAATCAGATTTAAGAGACAATGCTACTTAAATTGTGTCCATCGTAAAAGGCGCGGTTAGCCAGCTAGTTTTATTGAGTCGTTCTCGGCGCTAGCTCGTAAATATCACTGGGTAATTACTTTCCATTCCCTTTAAATACTTGAAACCCGCGCCATAAAATAAATAAACTTTTATTGTTTCAGAAATTGTTAGCGTTTATTATGTTTTTGTTAAAACTATTATCCTTGTAATTGAGTGGAACATTCGATGTGTCACACTGATCTTTTTTAAAGCTTGAAATATGTTCTTTACTTTTGACACAAGGTTGTTCTTATTTTAAAAAAAAAAAATATTCGCTTGATATCATCACCGTAGATTCGTAAAGCGATAATAAAATGCTCTTTTTCCAAGTAGGGACGAGTAATCCGATTACAACAACTTAAAAAGGATTTCCCAGTGAAAAATAATGAAACAATTTTCATCGATAAATCTGAGTATTTTACTTCGAACGAAACACTTTAAAACAGACAAATATGGAAGAATTTAATTATATTTTTCTTTGTTCTGAGAAAAAAAAGGTCAAGTAGGATAGATATTTTAAGGCACTGTTCGATAACGTTTTATTTTTCCAACGAATAATTTCTCGCCAGTCCCATCTTTTCATAGTCAGAGAGGAATGTTTTGTACTAACTTCAATTTTATGTATCCAAGTTATGATAATGTCAAGTAACAAGCACCCATCACGTAGGTACTTTATAATGTAAGCGATCGTTTTACTTATAATTCTCATTAGCATGTCTTTGTGTCAAGACGTGATTTCATCTTCATCTAATGAATACAAAAAACCCGAAGGCGGTTATTGTGTTAGGTTTGAACAATAGACACACATATTGTGAATACTAATCGTGTCGGTACATAAAGACACGGACCAACGGGGTCGCATTGCTTCGTCTCGTCTCCACTCCATACGTGCTTGCTAGAGAGAATTACAGACATATTTGAATCTACATTATAGTTTATACGTAGGTATTCCATCTTTAGAATTAAGGAAATTCCATCAAAGCGCATTTACCATTGATTAGCAATAAATGACCAACAATTTATTATAATAGATTCTGATTAATATACTTTTAAACATGATTTATACACTATTGTATTTATCCTAGCTTACGAAATATGCAATAAGTCATACCAATTCAATTATCTAGTACTGAAATAGACCTTTGTCTTCACAATATCACAATGGTTAGCAAGCCTCAAATACCCATAAGGTTTTCTACCAAATTCGCAAGCGCTTTTTATCAAAAATTCATTTTCACTGTTTCGCATCAATAGGTTCTAATTTCATGTAAATAAACCGAAATGTGTGAACTTTGTTTCACAATTGACGTCAATTTGTCTAAAAATGTTTTATTTCAAGTTGGAAACGTATGGTGACATAAATAGCGTTAAAATGTGCAGCTATTCAAAGCGTCAAACGATGTCCTGGTGCGGGTTGACGGCTTAGCGCTAACATTGTAACGGTTCGCTGTCGGCAGTGGCCACTTCTCATTATTTATTAACGACGTGAACCGAACACACGACCACCGCCGCATGCAATCCCTTTGACGAGATACTTAATAAGTATTTGCGGACACTTTTATTACTTTACCTGAGCTTCTATAATCACTTGTCATTTATGAAGGTAATTGGAGACAATTACAAAGGTACTATTCCCCCCTATGCTGTATTGTACGGTGTTGATCAAGGCAATTATCGTTTATGCTATTAGTTATGGAGATTGGTCAAATAATTGGCATTTGCTACTTGTTTATTAGTTCTTCATCAAGGAACTGTAATTATGAGTTGTCTATAAAACCAACATTAGTGGTTGACAATATTTATTTATTTAAAAAAAACTAAGGTCAGTTTTAACTCTTTAAACTTACCACTGCAATCGAGGAAAATAAAAATTCATGAATATATTGATTAAAATTGTAAAAACTTAAAATGGAAAGAAATATAAATTAATTAACATATTATTTAAATATTCTCAATGTATTGTTGATACAAAGGTCATGGCTTAAAAAAAATTGTTTTCCAAAACTAACAATAAATTAATTTTGTTCCAGGCAAGTCCCGAAAATAGCAGAAATGCTTCTCCAAGGTACCACGATGCATCAATGGAAGATGTGAGTGTTTCAACAACCTGTTTTACTAATTTACATATCGCTAAGTTATTAAAGGAATGTAGCACATTAATCATTTTTATTTTATTTGTTTTTCAGGCGTCGGATGCAGGCTCTCTTTTCCGGGTGGCAGGTGCGGCAGCTACGGGTGCAAGTGCCAAAAACGAACTCGTTGCTCGAGGTGGCAGCGGGGGCGCGCTCGCACTGTCGCGCGCGCCCGTCGGGGGCAGCGCCAGCCCCGCCCCCTCTCCCTTATTCCCTTCACATACCGCCTATCAATCTCAGTCTCAATCACACGCTGCCGCCGCGTTGCCTGACTACCGGCACACGAACCATGAGACGCGAACCGAGCCGGCCGAGCAGCCCCCGGCGCCGCTGGACCTGCACACACACCACACAGCGCACCACCCGGCCCGGCCGCCGCACCTGGCGCCCAGCCCCGCGCAAGCGTCCCATCCTAGTCTCCAGAGCCGCGTACCCCACTCGCAGGCGCATCCAGTGATGCCCGGCCATGACGTCAGAAATCAACCGGTCGTAGCTCAGACTCATCCCTCCGTTCCTACCTCGTTTTCGAACCGCGTCAATGGTGTGCCGCCAAGCGTAACACCACATTCGACGCCGTCTTCAATTCCGAGCTGTCTTCCGAGTCAAACTCTCACGGGACGGTCGCTCTCTCCGGCCGCGCCGACCTCTCGCCCCTACTCTACCCCGTCGATCGGGTCTAGTCATGTAAACTCCAGTATAAGTTCCAGTATTCACTCAATAGCTTACCAGAGTCAGTCGAGTTTACAGAAACATTCCGTTCAGCCTGTGTATGCAAACCGACCGTCACATCTCACACCCTTCAGCATATCCAACCACATTTCATCCAGTCATATTCCTTCTACGACAAGCCAATCTTCAGTTCCCCTTATAAATCATCCAATAAACAGTCATTCCGTTACGAGTCTTTCAAGTCATTTACCTATTGTCAACCCTAGTTCCTTACCAACTTCGACACCTAATCACATTGGTCCCCCTTCTACCTTAGCTTCTATTACAAGTACCACGATGTCTTCTTTCACCCCCAGCCTTAAGTCCCACCCGGGTATCAATATACCGCAACAGCCAACATCTGTTGCGACACCAATATCGTCACATTTACCTAGTAATCACGTGGATGCATTGCCCACATCGAGTTGTACACCTACAGTGGTAACCCCGGTGTCGACGAATAGCAGTGGCAACAGTAACCACCCTCTTCCACCTCCCATAATAGACTCGAGGCAACCTCCAGTATCGTCTTGTGAACTGCCAGCTCGTACTGAGAGTCCGATAGTGTCGTCTACTCTAGCTTCCAATAGTTATCCGCCCCCAGCAGTGTACTCCGGTTCATCCTACCCTCCTTTGTATACGCCGTATGCCGCCACCATGCAACACAGTCCTTACCTACCCCCTGCTGCGGCATCGCCGAGAAACTCTGCTGACACGGTATGTAACTCTTTTGATAAGGCAATTAAACTACTCTTAATATGTAACCTTATATTGAGTTATTAGCGATTTTTGTGTCAATATCTTATTTAATTCTTTCAGAGAACAAGTTTATCAGCATCACCTTTAGTTGCACCAAAAACCCCGAAGGGTGTTCGTCCTCACACGCCGGGCTCGACGGGCGCAGCTGGTGCAGCAATCTCGTACTCTCCGCGCGGACACAGTCCAAACAGGGAACGCGAAAGTTTCAGGTACGTCGTCGTATTGAATGCCTTCCTATTCGACTTACATTTGAATTGAATTCGACAACCAACAAGAAACGTCCCCCATAATGACATATTAATTTGCCCTACAGCATGGACAATATGGACGTGGTCACAGAGATAAAATTATTTGTATGTGCTTTATTAATCTCACACGACGTTGTGGTTGATTTCAGCAGCAATATCGGCAGTTTGTCCCGCAGTACGCCGGCGTCAGCGGCGAGCTCTCTGCCGTCACTAGCGCCGTCGCTGGTCGCGCCACTAGTTGCACCGCTCGCCGCACCGCTAGCGACACCTTTAGCAGCACCATTACCGGTAAAACAACATTAATTAAACTATACATTTCTCATGCTGAGATCCTCTTGCTACCGAGATACTAATATCGCCAGAATCAAACATGTGCACACAAAAGCAAGAAGTATGGCAGAAAAAAAGGACGACTCAGCAATGTATGCGCCTTAGACGGAATTAAAATAATATTCGCTGTTACATGAAAAAAAGAAAAGACATGAACTATATAAACATCATAAATCACAGGGTCCTCTGCCGGTATCGCTGTCGGGTCCACTGCCAACACCACTGGTAGGTGCGTTAGGTGCACCCCTGGCGCCTACGCTGGGCGGGCCCCTGGCGCCTACCCTAGGCCCGGCCCTGTCGGCGCCGTTGGCAGCGCCTACGCCGACGCCGGCCGCGCCCACAGCACAGCACCTCACGCACTCGCTGGCGCCCGTACCCACCGTGCCTAGCATCAGTTCTAGTGCCAAGCCGCCTGCGCACTGGGGGGTGACGTGAGTACATCATGTGTCATTTCTTGCCATGTTCATATCTTCTGATGCCTGAAATCAGTAACCGACTTCGAAAATTTTAGATGAAGAGTTAAAAGAAAAGAGATCTTTGCATTGCTAAAATCACATTAAAGTATCATGAATCTACGAGAATTAATCATATTCGTCTCTCTTTCAGCAGGCCGACGGGTGCGGAGCGGCCTTCAGGTTTCGCGCCCGCTCCTCCATTGTTTGGTGCTCCACTCCCACCACCTAATCCCAATCCGTTCTCGGCTGAATCACTCTTTCAAAGCAGTAAGTTCAAGTTTTCTGTAATTGATCTTGTAAAACAATGTGAATGAAGAAATGAAATTGTATTTGCTTAAAAATTTTAACTATTTACTAGCAAAGCAAAACAATATCAACACTGTTTCTGTACCAGCGCAGCGACTCGGAAAATTGCATGATGAGATCGTCGAACGTAAAATTATTTGGTTGTACCTACCTACATGAAGAGCGTTACATTCCAGGTCCGGGCGCGGATCTATTGCGGCGCGAGCTAGACAGTCGGTTCCTGGCGGCGGCGGGCGCCGTGTCGGGCGGCGTGGCGGGCGCCAGCGTGCGCACCGAGATGCACCACCACCAGCACCAGCACCAACACACGCACGTGCACCAGCACCCCGCGCCGCACGCGCCGCACGCGCCCCACGCGCCGCACGCCCCGCACGCGCCGCACGCCCCGCACGCGCCGCACGCGCCCCACCCGCCCCACGCGCCACACGCGCCCCACGCGCATCCACATCAACTACTCGTACCGCATGCGCCTCTGGTACGTATAATACATATGTATTGTGTTCCCGCTACACTTCCCCACACACACCCACACCCGTCTGTATACTTTTCAAAGTTAAAATTTAGCCATGCACTTTTGAAAGGTCAAAATTGAATTGTCCATCAGTGAAGCTAGGTGCTTGTTTTAAAATTTTGATTTGTGTAGAGATCAAACGTGACCTTCAATGTTGAAAACAAATTTTTACAATCTTACTATTACACATCGTGCAATACTACTAACAGTGTTCCAGTCTGTTATTATCTGAAAAACTATGTGGCGATATACGTATTTCTAGTTCTACTTATATGGCTTTTACTACGCTACCTTATGTTATTGTTCGCATTGGTAGGAGCGCGTTATCACCAATTTAATGAAACACAGAAATAGCGCATTTTGTTTCGCACAAATCTAGAAATATTCATACGCGCCTTGAGTGCACAAGTTGTTAAAGTACTGTCTAATATGAGATTTGTTGATTTTCAGTTTAAAGACGTGAGCAAAATGTCTTCACTGTATCGGAGTGGTATTGGACTTGGCTACCCGTACTCATCGAGTTTACTACACCCTACTGGACCCTACGTGCCTCCTACGCCACTTACCACATACGCTCCGAAGGTGATTGTCCTTTACGTATTTTAAATAACTCTTTTATGATCTTCTTAAATTTCTTAAGCAAGTTCTTAAATTAAATTGTACAGTTTTAAATAGTTAACATACATAATGCATGTATAATTTTCAATTAATGTTTCTGTTTTCGAAATCTTCATTCTTGTAACCAAGCAGCTTACTACTTGTTGGTAGCATATAGATTTAATCATATTCTAAACCTAACTCTAAATAAATAAATCCTTCTGTGTCTTTCTCACATCATGATATCATTCTTCTCTTCCAAGTACTGATAAATTTGTCTTAAATACTTGCTTATGCTTGTTTTATGTTTTATTTGCTCCAATCATTAACCCTGCATCGCATAATGTTAACAGCCCGTAGTGTCAGCCGCAAGCGACTCCACCTCTAAACCACCACCACGCCCCGCTGTCGCGGTAGGTTTCCTTCTTAGCACTACATTACATACTTTATGCATGCACTTGTTATAATTACATAATATTTTCAATATCTACCAATTGAATGATTACCAATTTCAAATATACTCTTTTGGTTCTTCAGAAAAGTGGAAAATGGAACGCGATGCACGTTAGGATAGCTTGGGAGATATACAACCACCAACAGAAGGAGAAGACCGGCGGTGGGGCCGCCGTGCCGGGTGCCGCTGACAAGGACAAGCTGCGAGCCTTCCCCGCCCCCGCGCCTCCCCCGCCCACGTACCGCTCGCCCTACGAGCTGCCGCCCGCGCCTTACCTGCCGCACCATCCGCACCTAGGTACGCTCCGCCGCCTCGAGCCCGGCCTGCCCGCGCCCGCGCCCGCCCCGTCTCACCGAGCTGTGCGCGTTTCAGGCGTGTCCCCCTTCGGACGCTACGGGCCCACGGCCTACCCCGGCGCGCCGCCCTTCGGGCTCACGGCGTACGGGCGCGAGCTGGCGCTGTCCTCTTCCTTGCACGGCGTGCACCACGCGCCGCCACTCGGCGCGCTGCACGACGCCTGGCGCAACGTGCGCCCGCCCGCACCGCCCGCGCCCGACGCGCGCCGCGACCATGAAGAGCGCGAGCGTGCGCGTCGGGAGCGGGACGAGCGCGAGCGGCGCGAGAGGGACGAACGTGAGCGACGCAAGGCGCGCGAGCAACGCGACCAGCGAGACCGCGACCTCGAGCGAGCACGTGCGCGCTCTCCGCTCCGCAACGGTGCTGTCGAGGTCAAGGATGAGCGCAAGGAACCTCCGCGTCATCCGCCGCCGCCCTCGCTGGCCGCTTATCCACCGCCTCCGCCGTGGGATCCCTACCGTTCATTCGACCCGCTTCAACACATGCGGTTCGCGCCGCTAGTAGAGGCGGCCATACGAGCGGAAGAGGACCGTGCCAAGATGCTGAGCGCGTACGCGCACCACCAGCAGATGAAGTCGAGCCCACTACTGCACCGCGCGCTGCCGCCGCATGCTCCGTTGGCGCCGCTGGGGTCGCACGGGGCGCTGGCCCCGCTGGCGCCCCTGGCCCCGCCGCTAGCTCCCCTGGCGCCCTTAGACCTGCTCAAGAAGGAAGAGCCGCGATGATAGCGATCAGGCGCAACAGCCGTGTCGCCGAGTGTGTACATAGAGTAGCGTAAACGACGTCGCAAGTGAGAGTACGACTAATTTAATGTATATCGTTTCGCATTATCGGTTTAGAGAATTATTTATTGTAACGTCGCTTACTGACGGTGTCGGTTCCGTCGGCCGGCCGTCTCGCCGGCTCGTTGTTGGGACGCTAAGGTAGTCGAGTGAGTGAGCAGGCGGCGAGGCGGAGTGAGAGTGGAGAGTGCGACGAGCTCGCTTTCTCTCTGTGTGCAATATTGGACGAGGACACTGGCCGCTCGTCGCCGCCGGCCTTGTACACTACTGCTTGTTTATTTACATGGAAATATCTATCGAGTTGTTATTGTGACCATTATTAGTTAATTATACATGAAAATTGCTGATTATTGTGAAGGATAGGATTATCGAAATCGCTATCGATATAATTATACATATTTATATATACTTATAAATAAACTGTAAATATTAGTTTGTAAATTAGCGTTAAAGTATAGAATTGGTTTATTTAACGTCATACAAAAGAAAATCCCATAAATTATTATTGCATCGGGAGTTTAATTTACACTTCCGTTAAAAATCTCAATGGTTTTTCAATTGTACCAGTGGAGTTTTATTTATTTATTTATACTCCTATTAGTGAACACAATTTCAGGAATAGCAGTTATTTCGTTTAAATGCATTTAAAATATGTGATATTATTGTATTGTGAAATACATTTTGTCTGACTTCAAAGTAGTGTCTCATCAAGTATGTAGATGTAACAGTTATACAATTATGGCCGGATTTGTATTTATCAGAAATCATGGTGTTCTCGGTTTAAGTATTTGTGAGCAAGTGAAGTAATCTAAAATTATTTGTTTAGCGACCTTATTATTATGACATGTACTAGTAAACTCTTATGTGCCATTGAATCATTAATGAAAAGGCATTGGGTCAGACAAAATTGAATTTAGGATCTGTAACTACAGATACATTTAACGGTTTGTGTTCTTAAAATCTCAGGAATGACTCAGAATTATTATAGTTTATTCAAAATCATTCTGTATACTAAAAGTAAATGAAAGCTTGGTGCGATTCAGAAAATACCATTAAAACTTTTGATTTTTATACCAACATGATTTTTTGTGACCCTTTCCTATTCCCTCTCAATTCTCTGGTTTCAATACTTTATGAATTTAGATAATTCAAGTATTAATGAGGATGATTTACTGAGAAATCGATTTCTGTTCAATAACAGAAATCGATTTTTCGATTTATGATTATAGGAATAGCAATCTAGTCCTATAATTATTAGGAACCAAAACTGCATTATGAATGACTTGGAAGTCCTGTCCCTTAGCTTAGATGACAGAAAGTTCCATCGTGAACAGACATTATGTATGGCCAAATTTAAAAAGGATCATGATTTTTGCTTGCTGGCATCGATTCTCTTGCTATTTTTTTATCTTTGTTGAAATACTTATAATTAAAAGCATGAGTGAAATCAACAATTATTATCAAACTAGAATCTATTTTTTAAAGAAATAGGTACATATTTCATGGTTTTTCATTATTATCGTCCTACACAACGCTGAATTAAATAAACAATGTAGTTTGCCTTTTAGTTACTTATATAATAGACTGCCTCGTTGGCCGAGTGGTCGTAAGTGCGACTGCCGGGCAAGGGGTCTCGGGTTCGATTCCCGGGTCGGGAAAAGTATTACTGGGTTTTTAAATATTCTCAGTAGTAGCACGAAGTCTGGAATTGTGCCCGGTATATGACAATAGGCTCACCCCTATTACACGGGACTCATAACAAAAATAGTGAAAAGTGGGTGTTACATTACAGTGCTTTAATGTGCACCTCTGCCTACCCCTTCGGGGATAAAAGGCGTGATGTTATGTTATGTTACTTATATTTGGATTATTGAATACTTTGATTTTGTTGCAATAACCGGATGGTGCCAATCTAAGATAGCTAAGACAAAGCTGGATAAAAAGCTTATGTTATACAAGATTACAATCTTATCTCGGGTAAATTTCATCTAAAAACGGTCAGTAGTTTTAGCATCAAAGGAATAATAAAATATATACCATATTATGTACCATACATACATATTTATAATCTTTCGCATTTATAATGTTAGTAAGATATTTAGCATGACGAACAAGGAGAACTGAACTGCAGAAATAGATAAAGGTTAGTATTAATTGTTTTGATTTATTAAGGGCTAGTTCTCTTCACATTTCCCAGATGAGGGAGTTCCATGGGGAATTTTCATTTAGAGTCTAAATGAAAATTCCTCTTTTATTACCTCAAAATTTTAGAGGTAATGAATAATAAGGTAATGAATGTGTGTGACTATGAGCATGGATATATTTTACCTGCCTCGTTGGTTGCGTGGTCGCAAGTGCAATTGCCGGGCAAGGGGTCTCGCGTCGGCAAAGTATTACTGGGTTTTTAAAAATCTCCGTAGTAGCACAGGGTCTGGAAATGGGCCCGGTATATGGCAATAGGCCTCACCCCATTACATCAAACTCATAACATAAATAGTGAAAAGTGGGTGTCACTTGTGTGTGCACCTCTGCCTATCCTTTCGGGGATAAAAGGCGTGATGTTATATTATGTTATATTTTACCAATTGACCTATTTATATTTGGGAATTTTAGGAATTTCGTGACTATGTGAAGTTTACCTTACCAGCTATGTAGGTACTTGGGTAAATCAAACAATAAGTATTAGGTACGCTTGAACTAGGTATAGCATTTATTACTGCAACTGAGAGTAAAATTTACATAAATATAAAATCATCTATTTTATTGATTGAAGTTTGTCATTTATTTTCTGTACCATATTTGAACGGTCTTCATTCTCTTCACTTTCTTCTGTAATTGAAGTACTCCATAGAGTAAAGCTTCAGCTGTGGGTGGGCATCCAGGTACATAAATATCAACGGGTACTATACGATCACAACCCCTGGAAATTAAACAAAGCCATTAATTACATAGATATTACCCAAAATTTTTAATGAGAATACCTTTCTTAGTGTCTATGTTATGTGCAGATGATTTTGGCAAGTCTCCACTGTCTACTGTGTAGGTAATATACGATATTATGTTCTATTTATTGAATCTAGATAGATTCAATGTGCAAGAAAGATTTCTAGACTGCCTGTACGGCCTTTACAGGTCATTTAACTTGTTGAGTACCATCATTATAGACACAATTTAAGAACAATAGGTTGCAGTCACCGGTGACCGCTCGGTGTATGACAGTTTAAATAGAAAAAGCTGTTCTCAGTATATATAAGTGAGTAACTCGTAATTTTTTTGTTAATTCATTCATATTCTATAATTCATTAATTATATTATTCAATTCATAAACATTACCAAATCTGTTTACTGAACAGTCCTGGGACTAACAGCTGTACTTAGGACAGTCTGGGGACTGATCACTATGAATAGCCTCGAAATAAGGGAATTCTCAGACTGCTCATATTCAAGACTAGGCTCATGATTTAATTATTAATTTTCATTTTTAATTGTTAATATTTAATTTTCTAATGACGTAAGTGACACCACAACAGGTTAAACATCTATTATACCACATTTGTAAAGCTATGTTACCTTGATTAATTTAAAATTACTCACCTAACAACAGAGTAAGAGTAATGGTAGTAACCACCACCGTTTGCGCAGCTGCCCATAGATATAACCCATCTTGGGTCTGGCATCTGGTCATAGACTTTCCTTAAAGCAGGTGCCATCTTGTTGGTCAATGTACCAGCTACGATCATAACATCTGATTGACGAGGAGATGCACGGAACACCACACCATACCTTGAAATTAAGTAATTATTAGATGACTATCCAAAGCTAAAAAAAGCAGAGTACCAGCACTTGATCAGTCATGTACCTAGATCTTAGAGTTATTCCAATAGATTTCTAGTTAGAATAAATATAAAGTTGATTTGTTATTTACTAAGGCTCCCACCTTGGTTTTGTTTTTGACACACTTATAGGTTTTGTCTATAGAGAAGAGATAGCTGCACTAAGATAAGAATAGTCAAGTTTATGTATATATATAAACAAATTTGATTAGAAATTGTATAGGCAAAAAATCTATCATTGTTATTGTAATGCTACATACCTGTCCATGTCGTATCGTGGTGCGGCGATGTGCATCATCTCCACGGCACAACAAGCCAAACCAAAGGTCATGGGCCACATTGAACCTTTTCTTCCCCAGTTCAATAAGTCGTCAAGCCTGGCTACTGCCATCTCAGCCATGTTAGTAGCATCTTGAAACGGCGAGTAAGGTCTCGTTTCATTAGGCTTGGGAGCAGGCAAATGGACCTGCCTTATTTTCTCTACAACGGGCGCAAAAGCTCCCTTCTTTACTACAGATAACATCGTAGAAGGAGCCGCAGCTCCCAAAGCTTTAATAGCCTGCATAATGCCTAGAAAATACAAGAACACAAACCACACGTTATTGTCAACATAACATCACCAATGTAATTTATATGATATTCATTATGACTGACTACTTACAAGTTTAACGCATTAATCAATTATAGTTCGTGTATAGATAAATACGCAATTTCACTTATATCTAAAACGATTGAAAAATCTCTAAAACAAGGTGCCAATTTTACGTAATTTACGGTGCATTCACAGGGAATGCTGACTTTGACATAACGTTTTGAATCTTTTAGAAACAATCAAACCACTTAATTATATTATGAGTGTACATTAAAATTACACTTTTATATTTCAGGATTTAGAGAATATTTAATTATTAGCAAAATGTATAGTTTACCAAAGTTAAATGAATATTTTATAATAATCCTTTACTAAAATAGGCTTAGTTAACAATTATATCGAACCCTAGAAACAGCTAACTTGAAGTCAGCAATGTCAAATTTGACAGTACTTTGGTCTGGCATAGACTATATAGACTCCCTAATTAGATTGCACAGTGAAAAGAACAAAACTTTAAAATTAATACAATTGTTAGCTTCATCATCTTAGTTACCCACAAAAGATGCCTGCTGCAGAATTGCTGATCGCAATTGAGATTTTAAGATTTTTATAGACATAATAGTACTACATAATCTATGGACGAGCATAAGACAAATAAAAATTCAAATTAAACAGCTGACATTGTCAATGTGACAGTCATTTATATTGTGTTCAAACTGTTTTCGTTTTGTTGTTGGTCTGAACTTAAATAAAAAACGTATTTTAAGAAAATATCGTGTAGCATTAGTTGTAACATTATTCTTGTTAGAAAGTGCAAACCCTTCCAAAATGACCAGCAATGTAAAGAAAGTAAGTACATAATTCAAATATAAACAATACGTTCAATACGTGATTAAAAATCTTAATTCATCTATTTCAGGAGAAAAAATGGTTCAAACCCATGTTTGATTTTGATGATGAAGAAAAACCATCGAAGAAAATAAAAACTGATATGCAAATACAGAAGAAACATGAAAATAATGAACAAGTTGTGAGTGAGGTGGGTGCTTAAAATATTTGAAGCCTTTGCTTCCTTTTTGCAATATGGAGATTAATCCCGGGTTGGTTTACTTGGTTTTCAATCCTTCAATCCTGATTATCATATTGGCATTGGCATTCCCTTTAAAATAAAATCAATTCATAAATAAAATGCCTTCCACCAAGTCAGCTCAGTTTTCTTATTTATTTATTATTTAATGTACATACCTACACCACATTTTCTGTTTCATTTAATTTTCTACAAATTTCATATTTCATCTGTATTTCTTGTAAAGGTTTCAGAGACTAATTCTGGTGGAAAAGAATTCATTATAAAGGACCATAAACACTGGATGAAAACATTTGAACCAGTTCATGTTGAAGATTTAGCTGTGCACAATAAGAAGGTGCAAGAAGTAGAAGATTGGATTAAAACAGTGAGCAGTAACAATAATAGTGATATGTTACTCATGACTGGGCCGGTTGGCTGCGGGAAAACTATTACATTGCAAGTTTTATCCAAAAAGTATGGTGTTAGAATCACTGAATGGATAACTCCTGTGGATATTGATATTCCTAGTGAAAATGGTATATTTTTTAAAGTGCTATTTATGAAATTGATGTCTTAGAATAAGTATTGTGTTAGTTGTTGCTTATTCTTATTCTTAATTTTTCAGGTGAATATGAATTCAAACAAAGACAGTCTGTCCGATTTCTAGACTTCTTACTAAGTGCAGCCAATTTCACATCTTTGTTGGATGGTAATAGTAAAAAATTGGTGCTGGTGGAGGACTTCCCAAATACTTTTATGAGAACACCATCAGAATTCACAGAAGTTTTACAGTGAGTTTATTGCTTTTACTAAAAATGTGTACTTGTTACACAAATTGTACTATATCTTTAATTAACTGACCAGCCCCCAAGCGGTCACCGGTGACCGCTCTCCACTTACTCCATAATAGACCTTATTTCCGATGTTTAGAGAATACATTTGTTGATGAACAATGTTGTGGAAGTTTCATAATCAGGGATTAAGAAGTTAAATGATTTTATTACAGGCAATATCAGCAAAGGGCAAGGTCACCAATAGTATTCATCTGCTCAGAATCTCATACAGATAACAAGAATTCAGCGTCTAATATCTTTACACCAAGTTTGAAAGAGCAGTTCAAAATACATCATGTTAGGTAAGATTCAGCCTTATATTATAGGTATGCTAAATAAATCACTTCACTATTTGTAGGGTTCTAATTGTAACTGCTGAACACTGGGTCTTAGTGTCAGTGCCAATACTTGGTCAGAGCATAGTGTTATCGGAGTTTCAGCATTCAAAATTAGCTTTGTTGCATGAGACTGCATGGTGTAAATCAGGGCCGTCCAAACAAAGGCCTGCGGCTTGTTTTCATGTGGCCCGCGACACACAATTCTCAACATCTTATGTGCAACAACAATAATAAAATTCAGTGTATAATTGTATACAAGTTTAGTCTGCGAGTAAAGAATACAATATTAAACATCATTATACAACTGGAAATATTTTTCTGGCCCTTCAGGGTTTGTAAGAAATTTAATTAGCCCGTGAGGATATATAGTTTGGATAGCCCTGGTGTAAATTGTGTATTACATGAAATATTTGAACATTGCTTTGTATGTAATTTCAGTTTCAACAGTGTAGCCCCAACGAATTTAAGGGCAGCATTAAAACGGGTTGCTAGTATAATTAGTAAGAAGCACACAGCAGTGTATAACTGTCCAACCGCAGATGTGATAGAATGTGTTGTCAACTCTTCCGCTGGGGATGTGAGGTCAGCTGTATTGAACTTGCATTTTGCATGCTTAAAAGGTAACAAAGTCTTTTGGATAGTGAATAATATTTTACAAGTAGCTTTCTAACCACATTACTTCTTCATTATAATTTTTTTCAAGGATACTTTTAAACACTGGTAAGAACTGCATAAAAATATCAGTTTTGAGTTTATTGTGAATAGATGGATGTGGCTGGAGACTTTTTATTTTACTTTGAGGTTTGATAGTGAATGTTTATTGCATTCTAGGAGGAACAAAGCAAAACATGGACACAAGTATAGTGCATGGAAAAGAATCAAAAAGTAAAACGACAAGAAAGAAAAAGACCAGTAAATTTATGTCTTTAGGAAAAGATGAATCTGTAAGCATTTTACATGGAGTTGGCAGAGTGTTGAATCCAAAAGGTACATACATAAACTCACTCAGAAATGGGTAAATGCCACAGCATTTATGGGGTATAATATTTTGGCATTTATGCTGTATGTTGAGAGTGCATGGGAATTGCACAACTTGATTCCCCCTAATCCTTTCCATCATCGTACCACAAGACAATCGGCGAAGCGTCACCAAATCATGGTAGATGTCGAACCCACACGCACGAAGTGCTTTGCATCGAGCTTCCTTGTGCGTACTACTAAAGAGTGGAATTCTTTGCCAGAGTCTGTATTTGGTCAAGGTTTGTATAACCTGGGGGTCTTCAAGGCCCGAGTGAATAGGTTGCTTATGGGAAAATGTGCTCCATCGTCGACCGCATCATCGCTTACCATTACCACTGGGCGAAATAGAGGTCAAACGTCGGCCCATCAAATAAAAAAAATAACAAAACTGACTACAGACATATTACGAATTTTACTTATTTTCAGTAATAGAAACCGACAATGGCAGCAAAAAGTTCACACATACTCCTGAAGATATAGTAGAGCAATTCATCAGTCAACCTGTGTCTTTTGTAAATTTTTTGGAAGAAAATTATCTACCTCACTTTTCAAATATCGATCATGTGGACAAAGCTGCGTCAGCGCTCAGTGATTCAGACTTGATGCTGGCTGAATGGCGAGTAAGTACATAGTAATCTTTCAGAATAAAAAATACCTTTCATCATCAGATTTTTATAACAAAATAATCTATTTTTGCAGGAAAAAATGTGTCAAGAATATGGTTTGTATAATGCAGTCGCCAGTTTGATGCTCTCCAACAAAGCTCCTGTCTCTGCTTGGAACCCAGTAAGGGGTCCAAAAAATATGAAGATACAATATCCGTAAGCACCTTAGTTCATGTTTCGATATTTTCAATATGTAGCAAGAATAATCTTATTTTTCTTTTTCTGAACCTTTTTATGTCATCTAATATTATATTATGATTTTGTTTCAGAACTGTACGAGAACTCCAATTACTAGAAGAAAATTATTTGTATAAAGGAAAAATATTAGTTTCCGATTACCAAACATATTGTAAAATAATAAGTAATAAAACTGGCACCTGATTGTTTATTATTTTTGTATTTGTTTTGTTTTCACCGAAGTATCTGATTATGAAACAGTACTTACATAGTTCGAAACAAAAAATCAAGGTTTCAGTTGTTCTGATTGGCAATGTAGATAAAGGTACTTTGGGTAGATCTGGCAATTATTACTTATATTGTGTACTAACTGGTGTAAAGCATCAGTTTAAGTATTAGTTGTAATGTTATTCAGCATATTCTATTTAGCTAGTCTAATGAAATAAAATGCATCATTATACTTAGAAGTTATTATTGTTTATTACAACAAGAAAAGCAACACTTTAAATCATATTTAAATTGTAGAATAAGTTTTCTACTTGACATTGGAAACAGGATCTTTGGATCTGGGAATAAAAATTAAAAGTCAGATTACTAATACAATTTATTAGCAAAGAAGAGTCTGCTTTTTTGTATTTAGGAATTTACAAATACAATATTATTACATTACACTCCACACTGATTTAGTTTTTTTGGTACAGTTCATCTGGATTGGGCACTCACTCAGTTGTTTCCATTTTGCAAGCTTTTATAACAAGAAACATCTCGTTAAAAATATAATCAAATAATATTGCAGTCATAAATAGAAATACTCACCTGTGCTACAACATCGGCATTACAAACCAAGTCTACAATACAATGACCATATAGATGGGAAGCAGAGTCATACTTACCTCTGGTGTCATCTGGAACATGTGTACCAAATTTTTATGAGAGGCTCCCAAATAAAGTCGGGGTCAAATGATTTGTGTTGGTGTATTGCATGCAAAGCGGCGAGGGTGTGTTGTCTGTTTGTCTGTTGAGGGAGTTATCGGGAGGAGGAGGAGGAGGACCTGGAGCGTCGGCGGCGAGGTGCCGCGCGGGGTGAGCGGGAGCGCGAGCGGCGCCGCCGCGGCGGGGACCGACGCCGGGGAAGCGGGCTACGACGCCGGTACCTGTGGAATAAATAATATATAATATAAATAATAATATTTAGTTATTTTGCTATCTTATTGATTGATTTTCTTAAATAGAACTTGTGAGTGTATCAGAATTTTAGAATTATTGTTTTGACATTTAAATGTTACTGACCGAGGAGGGGAGTGTCGACGTGGTGGCGCGTGTCTCGGTGGTGGTGGACGTGGCGATGGTCGACGAGGCCGCGATGGGATCAACACCGGCGCCGCTGTAATCTCCTGGCCGTCGATTTGTCCTGTGAATAACATGTTACTTATACATAAGATGTCAACATAAAAATACACAGAGTTTAGCTACTATTCTGATAATCTTCATTCTGTATTATGTTTTTTTGTATTGTCATTTTTTTAAGTATACAGCAAGTTGGAACTGAGTCGGATTGAAAAACAAATATCAATACAGCTGTCCTTGAGTTATTACTACTGGAACTAATACATTATGATTTATTACTTTGTTCTGTAATTGATTACTTATTCATTAACTGGAAATAAAGAACTTTGCACTATCAATAACATGTTAGTAAAATTAACCTCCATCCATGTGCTTCATAGCATTTTCTGCCTCATCAGCATTGCTGAATTCAACATACGCATATCCACGACCATTGTGGGGATGTAGCCGATCCATTGGGAATTCCACAGCCTTCACAGTACCATATGTTGAGAAAATCTCATGAACATGATCCCTAGTCACATTCAGAGTCAATCTGCCAATATGGATACGTGTGGGCCTCGGTGGTGGAGAGCGTTCTCGCTTCTTGCGGCCTGGAGATCTGATGAGAAAATATTCATATATATTAAACTGTCAAACATCAAGCGGTCACCGGTGACCGCAACCTATTGTTCTATAACTGTGTCTATAATGACGGTACTCGACGAGTTAACATACAATAGTTTACTAATACTGTAAAGTTGCCATTAATAAGTACTTTAAATCATCGCTTAACTAATTATGATTAGTATTAGAGGTCATCAGTAATTAACACTCACCTGTCATGTTTCTCCTTGCTTTTACTCTTATCATTAGACGATGGAATTGCTTGTTTCTTCTTATCACCAAGTGGAGATCTATCCCTTACTTTATCTCTATCAGGTTCACGGCGATCCTTGATGGGGCTCTTGTTTGGGGAGATTCTAGAATTTGACAATAAACACCATAAGTCTATACTAATAAAGTACAAAACACTAAATTGAGTTACAGTTGTTGATGTTCTTACTTCTTCTTTGGTCTGGACCGGTCATTGTTGCTGCTACTGCTGCTAGACGAGCTGGACGACGAGGAGGAACGAGATGAACTACCTGAACTGCTCGACGAAGACCTAGATGACGACCGAGACGAGCTACTTTCTGATGAGCTGCAACAAAATACCATAACCTTTAGTGGACAATGTTAATTAAATGAAATGAAATTACAAATTATTGTTTTTTAAAGTAAGACCACAGACGGAAAATTAAAATACCACGGCTACAAACATAACCTAAGTTGTCATAATATCATTATATAGCACTTTGATACTTATTCTTGTTTATTTGGAATTACTAGATAGAGACTTACCTGCCGCTACTATCACTGCTGCTGGATCCTGAATCGCCTTTCTTCTTTTTATTTTCTCTTGGTTTCTTTTTATCCTTATCGGATGCCGCCGAAGGCGACTTAGTTCGCGCCCTGTAATCAAATGCAAATTCGTATTAAGAATATATCGTAACTTTAAGAACAATATTCAATTAAATCGCAAGAAATACATACATTTCACTTTATTTTCGTAACTGTTTCAATGATATTTATTTTATTTTTATCACCACCAAACAATGTTTCATCGAGCGTCGTTGGGAGTTGGGAGTCGAATGAAAGAACGAACTGTTGGAATGAACGCATGAACTATTGAACGAGTCGTTGTTGGAGGAAACGACCATAGATAACAAATTATATTGATTGGACACATTGTATGCCACAGATTAAATTAACAAGAATGAAAGTTCAGTAAATTGTTAAATTTTGTTGTTTTGTACGAATATTTTATTTAAGTATTTTTTTTGTAGACAAGGTCTTTAAAAAAAAGACAGACATAGTGTCTTGAAACAACGACTGGCACCTGGCTACTATAGACTTACACGCAGAATACTTACAAATTGGCATAAACACGAAGGAGAAAATCCTAATGTGGGGCAACAAAGAAACGCAAAAAGTGTGACTGCCTCATTGGCCGAGTGGCAGCCAGTACGACCACCGGGCAAGAGGTCTAGGGTCCGATTTCCGGGTCGGGCAAAGTATGTATTACTGGGTTTTAAAAATCTCAGTAGTAGCACGGACTCTGGAAATGTGTTCGGTATATGGCAATACGCTCACCCCCTATTACATGGGACTCATAACATAAATAGTGAAAAGTGAGTGTTACATTGTACAGTGGCATTAAGTGCCATAATGTGCACTTCTGCCTACCCCTTCGGAGTATTCGGATAAAAGGCGTAATGTTATGTTATGTTACCTATGTTATAAAGTGTTGTTCCGTGCGGGAATTGAACCCGTGGCAACAACCGTTGTTAAAACTCAACGGAGAAAAATAATAGAAGATAGGAAAAGCCCTATGTAGGTATACAAAATCAGTCTGTAGGTAGGCACCTATTTATTAGATATGTAGTTCTACCACACGACATTTGTTGTATTGTAGGTAGGTATATATATATACATATATATAGGTAAATGTAAAGGTACTTTTTCGGTATTCTTGCTAGCCGATTATGTCCCCGATCGGCTACTTCTGTACGTACTACGTTTGGCACGGCTATGAATCGTTGGTTTGTTTTTAGACATTTATGTACTGTCTTGATAAGTACCTACATAAATATTTACAAAAACATCGAATATCTGTTCCCAATGTTAGTTGAATAGTTTGTTCGTTTGATATTCCATTTATCGAGAATGCTATGGACTATCCTTACTATATAATATTATAAATCGGAAAGTGAGTTTGTTTGTTTGTTTGTTCCGATTTCACGCCGTAACTACTAAACCGATTGCTTTGAATTTTTGCAGACGTAAAGTTAAATGTCTGGATTAAATAATAAGGTATTTTTATCCCGGAATAATTTGATATTCCCGAGGGAAAACAAAAGTATTGGTATAGATGGCGCTGTATGTATTGGTATACGTCACATAGGCTATTTTTTATCCTTTTGTGACGCGAGCGAAGCCGCGGGTTAAAGCTAGTAAATTATAACGCTAAGTAGGTATTCTAATACAACAATTCAACAATTTTAATTTTCCGACAACATACCTACTACATAATGAGTTTCACCACAAAGACATATTTAAGTTGATACCTAAACTACCTAACTTTCTCCTATAATTTGGTTGCATGCTAAAACTAGAAAACACACAATATACCTATCCAGAATCACCAACTATTTTGGTAATAGAACACTAAAAAAGGGAATACCTACCATACAAAAAATAAAATATTTATAAGTACTTACATTTAATTGTAATACCTAGTGACTCGACCCCACAGTCAAACTATTTCAACGGTTTTGTGGGGCTTAAATTATAACACACTTACCTGTGTGATTTAAAAATAAATAATAATAATAAAAAAATCTTTTTACAATTTTATTACCTATATCTATTTATAATAGTTGTCACAAGATCCAATTCCAATAGTAAATAAACAGTCGATTGATTACGTACGTGGGTAATCACTCTCAAAGACTGGTAGCCGTTAAGTGCCCGAAATGATTAGCTATAGGCCTCCCGCTGGTCGACATGGCCCGCACATTAGAGCAATGGGAAGCTCATGTTGCATTTATGAGAGTTTGCCCTCGCTCATTGTGACCTCTTCAGCCCTTCCTTTTGTTAAGGGACAATCAATAAATTGAAGTGTCTCACTTAAATGTTATGTTGTTTTGAACTTGGTATTTCTTTTATTGACACCCCTCTTTTTTACACCGCACTTGTCGTTAGTCGTAATAGTCAACTTTTTCTCTTTTTTCTTTTTTTTAAACTAAACTAAACAACTACGGCACTACGTCACGTTGTACTTTAACAGA